AGCCACACCTGGGGGCACAGCAGGGGCCTCTTGAAAACCTTCAGTACAGCAGAGACCCAGCCCCAGGGCTCCTTCCTCCTCTCCCCTTTGGGGTGGATTACAGGAGAAAGTATTCTAGAGCTGTGAGCCTCAAACTCTTCCCCAGCCCAGGGTCTGGCCAGGCAGAGCTGGGAGCCTGAGAGCTGCATCTCTAGCATGGCCCTGGGTGATGCCAACATGGCTGGGCCGAGAAGTATACTGGGAGAATCCCGCTTGAGCACATGGAGGCTCCTCCCCAGCCCCCCAGTCAGCCCCAGACCTCGGGTGGGCAGCCTGGTCTTTCAGGACAGCCCCTAGGAAAGCTGGGTGCAGAAGGGCTCATCTCATCCTCCTCTTGCTGTCTCTCCCAGCAGCCCCCCATCACTGACAAGCTCCTTTATTCAGCAAATTATGGCTCAACCTCTGCGGCTGCACTCAAGAAGCTAACAGTCTGGGCATAAGCTTCTAGTGGGCACAGAGACCCCACAAGGGCTGTGACAGGGCTGCAGAAGCTCAAGGGTGCTGGGAGCCCAGAGAAGACCTTGCCTCTGTCCTGGGGAGTCTTGGTCCCGGGGAGAAGCCAAGGGAGTGCTGGAAACAGGAGGCTTAGCTTCTATTAACTGCAGGCTTATTTGCTGTCTACCTCAGACCCTGGAAGTGCAGGCATTTTAACCCTCACCACGCCTTCGAGGTGGGGACTGCTGCCACTGCAGATTTAGTCAGTGTGGCCACTGTCCCAGGCTGAGGACACTTGGGCCTCCAGACACATGGAGGGAGGGGTGGGACAATGCTGAGGGACAGCACGGGTTGTGCACGACACCTGGGCTCAGGCCTGGCCGAAGACTGAGCGCAGGCTTTCCTCTGGGGTGGAAGCACTCCCCGCTCAGACACCTGAGGGCAGCAGGGTGAGCCTGTCCCTGGGCTCCGGCCCCATCTGTTTAAATAGGGCAGGAGCCACGTTGACTGCCTTGGGAGCTGAGTGCAGCTACCCCAGGCATGGGTGGGAACCAGATGGCAGAGGCAGCGGGCCTGGCTGATGTGGCCTCACAGGGCCGTGGGGACCCCAGAGAGCCCAGATCACGAGGGGCCGGGGAATCATGTGCAGCCATGGAGGGGGCTTCATTTACAGAGTGGCTCGTGGTAAAGGTCAGTCCTGGGGAGGCACAGCCGGGTGCTGAGGGGCAGTGCTGGACACAACTTCCAGGACTTATGGTGACCTCCACACCTTGGCCCCAGACAGTCTCTGTATGGCTCTGGGGTTCGCAGGCCTCGTCAACTACAGCACAAGCCCCCAGGCCAAAGGGCTCTCTCCTTCTGAACTCACTGCTGCCCCTTGTGTGGGATCAGCAAAGCCACTCTGATCCAGTGGATGGAGCCAGAGAAAGCGAGCCCCAGCTGCAGCAAGAGGTTCTCTAGTTAGATTCAAGGAAGCACTGGCCTGGCAGGAAGGAAGTAGCAGTTGTTTCTAGGAAGAAGACAGACCCACCCTTCTGTCGGTGACAGTTTGCCTGTCTGGAAACAGTATGGTGGGGGTTTCTTTCTCCCCTCCATGTTCATTTCCCCTGTCCCCTCCTGCTCACCACCCCCTCCCACTTCCGCCATTGTTTTCTGTGTGGGCCAGAGGCTCACCTGCTTGTCCCAGCGTGACGGGGGCCTTTGAACTTGGACACAATTTGCCCCACGTTTGCTAAGCCCTCCACCCCCTGAAGACGGAGAGAGCCCAGGCTCTTCCCAGGCCTCTTGCAGCCAAGCAGAGATCAGATAGTGAAACAGAGCCACAGCCACTGGCAGAAATCAGTGGGGAAAAGAGAGGTGGAGGTGATCAGGGAATGGAATAATCCAGAAACGACAGGCAGACTGGCCTGGCTGGAAAGATACAGTGAGAAGGGTCTGCCGAGCTTACAGGCAGGTCAGGGTCAGATCACCAGGCCCTGACTCAAGTTGAATGATTTGCACTTGGTGGTGTGGACAAGGGGGAGCTATGGAAGGTTTTGGAGAAAGGGCATGACATTGTCTGGACTGGGACTGGGGCTTCTAGATCTTGCTGATTGTCCTAAGATCTCATGAAAGTCACCTGGCCTTGATTCTGAGTCCTGAGGCCTGTCAGGATTCCCAAGGGGAGCAGTTTGTGTCTCAAATGTTACACTTTTGGTGAAGTCCGTCCCAGCAGCCTGCCTCTTGCACTGCGGAGTCTCTTTGCTTCCCCTTTTTCTTTTTTCCTATTACATTGATCTCTTTCTAGCATATTCTATCCACCCTTATGCTGATTCTTATCTGTTCCCCAACAACCCCAGTGAGCAAAGGCCCCAGCTGAGCAGAGTCCCTGCCTGTTTTACTTGCTGAAAACCCAGTGCCTAGGATCCCAACAAACTCATCCATTTAACGACTAAATCAGGAGGAAAACACCACCCCGCAGGAGCCAGCAGGGTCTGCTTTGCTCCCTCTCTGGCGCTCCCCTTCCGGCTTCCAGGATTGGCAGCCCCAAGCCTCCCAGTGGGAAAATCTCTGAGAAAACCAGACAGAACTGTGCTGCTCCCTCCTGCACCTCTCACCCTCTCCAGGAATCTGGGGAGATTTGGACTCTTCCTCCCTCCCTCCCTCCCTCCCTCCCTCCCTTGCCCAAACCACTGCTGCTTTCCTTCATCTCAGAGTGGAGGCCAAGAGAAGAAAGCAGAGTTTTTGCAGGACAGTGCAGCCTGAAGGGGCCACTCTGATGGTCTAAGCAGAGCCAGGGCACAATACCGAGCACCACGGGGGCGGGCAGGAATTCTGTTCCAGTTTGGCCTCACACTGATCCTATGAAGTGGGAATTATCCCCTCCCCCCATTTTACAAATGGGAAAATAGACTCCGAGAAGTCGGTGACATTGGCCAAGGTTTCCCTGTCAGAGGAGAAGCCTGGTTTTGAACACAGCTCTGTCCTACTCCAATCCTAGTCCTTCATGGTACACAGCACAGGAAGCAGCTGAGGTGCGGGGAATAGGGCGGGCCAAGTTTTCTGTCCGAGGTACTGATCTCAGGTGGTCTCTGCCAGCCTCAGGCCGTCCACTGAAGCTGTAGGAGCCCAAGCCCTGGCCACCTCCCAGCGGTGAATGAGGACAATGACTTCACATCTGTCACCTGGCCTGAACTCATCAGAGAGTGCTGAGGCCCTGCCTGTTCTGGGCAACGGTCACATGCCCCCTTGGCACTCTGATGTGGACAGGGCTGGCTGGGCTCTCTGCATCAGCCGTCCCAGTGGATCCAGCACCTTGTGCCCAGGTCTGCTCAGGGCTGGCTATAGTCAGGGAGGCAGGGAGGTGTGGGTCAAATCCGAAGCTGTGGGGCTGCAGATCACTGCACTTCCACACCTTAGGAACTCAGTTCGCCCCATGGCGAGGGTGGAAACTTTCTCTGTAAATATTACTAATCCCTTATGCTGTGCAGGGCAAATGATATATATCCAGTTGCTATCTTCAAGGGTCTTAAAGGGAAGGTTAGGACATAATCTATTAAATGGGCCATAGGGAGCCATGGATGATTATAGAGTAGGGGAATATGATGACTACACTGAGCTCTAGGGAAGCTAAGGGTAACTAGGCAAGCAAGGGTAACTAGGAGAGAACAGGCCTCTGTAGTGATCAGAGCTAGCAGGTTAAGCACTTACTGGCTGCTACAGATTAGTCAAGTACTTTGCCGATATTAACTTACTGATCTCCACAATGGCGCGAGGGTACTGTTATCCCCATTTTACAGACAAAGAGACTGAAGTATGGCAAAGCTGGGAAAGCTCCAAGGCCTGAGCTTTTAACCACTGTTTAGTGTCGCTTCTCTGGGGCATCTAGATTGCAAGGACTAGGGCCTGGCATGGGGTGGGCAATGAGCACAGCTGGGGGACAGAAGTTCCCTAGGCTGCCAGGGTCCAGGCTCCTTGCCCCGGAGGGCTGTCCCAAGGCAGGCGCAGGAAATGATCAGGGAGACATGAACGGCCCTTTGCTCTGCACATAGCTAAGATTACTTTTATCCATAATAGCAACACTCACAATGTTCTTGGCCCACAGCCCTTACAGCACAACTTCTTTCATTTAAGAGAGATTTCAGACACTCTCAAGTCTTATAGATAGCTACAGCTTCCCCTGATAAGCCTCCTGGACTATGGAGTCTTTTTTCAAAGATTTATTCATTCACATATTTACTTACATACCTGGGGAAGAAAGCCTCACGTTCACACTACCCTGTCTCTAACACCTCCCAGCTTCGAGCGCTGGATCACTTTGGCAAAGGGGTATGAGTTGCTAGAGCTGAGGGGGAGGGGGAGGCAAAGGAAAAGGGGCCTGGGGCAGGGGTGGGGCTGAGGGCAGGCAGAGAGGAGCCAGCTGGGCCCCGGAAGGCGGAAGGGCTCTCTAAAGCTAAAGGCTTCCTGTGCTATTTTGACAAGATTACACCTGAGTCCTCTGAGATGTTCAATGACAACATTTGGAACTACACTATTGATACAAGTAATGCTTGAGAAGTAAAGAGGGATTGCAGGTGGATTATATCACCAAGATCCCTTCCAGCTCCAACAGTTTATGAAGATACCATCTGTCTTCATCCTTTCCTGAGGAAGAAGCGTCAGGAGTCAGGGAACTCATGGAAGAACAGTGTCTGACTGGGTCCTGGATCTGCTCCATGCCAGGGTGGCTGGGCAAGAAGCACACAGGGGACCCAGCTGGGAGCTGAGCTGGGAGCACTGGCGAGGGGTGAAGGGCGCCCTAATCAAAGCCAGAGAGCCTCACCTCCTTCCCAGGCCCTGGAAGCCAGCGTTACCTGGGAAGCACCCAATGGAGAGGGACTAGGCCCTTTCTGCCCCCTTCAGTCATGGTGTGGGGGTAGAAGGGGCCACACAGGTCCTTTGCCCACATGAGCCACAGGCCATGGGCAGTGGGGACAGCTTCAGTTCCCCAGCTGGAAGGAGCCGGTGCTGGGCTCAGTCTGGCTGGGTGGGATGATGGGGCCACCTACCTGGAGTAGCAGGTGAGGCTGGGGGTTTGGCCCACTGGCTGTTCCTGGCCTTCTCCTCTTGATCAGTCTCCAGGGGGAGGTTCTCCAAGCCACCCAGCAGTGACCACAAAAGTGGCTCCTCCAAGGCTCTATGGCACAGGGACAATGGAACAGTCAGGGTAGGCGGGCATGGATCCCATTCCTCCCTGGCTTCCATGCAGCTCCTCCCCCAGCCCAACCGGGGCAGGCCCCTCCCAGGCCCAATGTGCTTGTCAGCATCTTCCCAGAAGGCCTGCTGCAGGGAGCTCGGAGTTCAGCTGGGTGAGGGGAATCCATGACCTCCAGGCTGGCCCCCACTTCCAAATCCAATGAGTGCCCACCCTAGCATGAGTCAGCATGGAGCTGCCACTCATTCCAGCTGAGCAGAGGCCTAAGGGGGTGAGGGCAAGGAGAACCAAGAGTGGAAACTGACTGCACTGGGAGTTCAAGCACTAGCTCTGTCCCTTGCCCCGGGTGAGCTGCAGTACTCCACTTTCCCTCACTGGGGTGGGAGCCTTTAGCCTAGATACACAGAGCCAGCAGGGGTGCACTGAGAAGAGGTCCCAGGAGGCCACAACCATCACCTCCTTCAGAATCATCTGTGCTAGAGCTTGCTAAAATGCAGGGTAAGGGGCTCTACCCTGGCCCACTGAATGTCCAGGAAGGTGCCCAGGAATCTGTATTTTAGCAAGTTCCTCACACAGACGCACAGGAGGTCATACTCAACGCAAATTCTGAGAAAGAGCAGACCAGTCCATGGATGACAGTTTTCTAATCCACATTCAGGGGTCATGAGTCCCTTTCTGAAAGCAGTGTTTAGGAGTCCAATGTCTGCAGAAAGACTAGTCAGGGGACCCTGGGCAGCTTACTGATGCCTCTCTGGTTTTCATTGTCCTCGTAGACAAAATGAAGATTAGCACTGATCTAAAACTGCCAATTCCAGAAGAAATGAACCCACTGAGAATCTTATAAAGGAAGTTCAAGGCTGGCGTGCAGCTCAGGGGTACAGCAGTTGCCCAGCATGTGCACAGCCCCGAGTTCCATCCCCAGCATCAATCAATCAATCAATCAATCAATCAGAGAAGTCCAGGCTGAAGCATTTTAAGTAGTATTCTCCCTTTATAATTGATTTAATCTGAATATTCTTAATTCTGAAAATGACATGCTTGTGAAAAAAACACTCAAAGTAAAATACAACGAAAATAAAATAAAAATTCAGTATAGGTGTCCTTGCCATCCCAGAACTCTGTCCCACTCCAAAACATAAATAAGTCGCCTGTTTAAGTTTTCTTCAAATTCCCCCCAAATATGGGCAAATATATATCTGTGCTTGATCTTTATTTTAAAGCAAACAGGAACATATTCTGAGTACTCTATCTTTGTTTGGCTCACTAATATACATCACACATCTATGTATGCAATGTAGATCTCATTTTTTAAACAGCTCATAGTGTTTCATGGAACCAATGTGTTCCATTTATGTGACTCTACCTGTGTGGATGGATTTTAGGATGTTTCTCTATTTTTAATGCAGAAAGCTGCACGACAAACATCTGTGAGATTGGCTACAGGATAAATCCCCAGGTAAAAGATCACGTTGGTCTAAAATTCTCATTGATATTGCCAGGTTGCCCTCCACAAAGGATGCAGCAATTTGCACTCCCTCAGCAATGTAGGGCCTGATTCTCTCCACCCTTGATAACATTGTGCATTATCAAACTTTTAAACAGCATGAAAATTAAAAGATGATAACCATCTCTGTTTATTGTCAGAGTGGGCAAGCATATTTTCACAATTTTGAATGACTGGCGTTGGCATTTATTTTTATTTTGTGAATTGTTTGTTTATGTCTTTTCTAATTTATCTTACTGATTTTAAGGATTTTCTAAATTGATTCAATTAACTTTGTATCATGCATCTTGCAAGTTGTCATTTGTCTCTTTTTTACCTTATTGTGGCATCTTTTGCTTAAAGAAATGTCAGGTCTTAATTTTTTTTTTTCTTTCTGTAGTCAAAAGTATCAGTCTCCTCCTGTGTGACTTCTGAGTGTTTGTTTTTACTTTTAAAAAGCTTTCTCACTTCCAGGCATAAGGCAAATGCCTGTAATCCTAGCACGCGGGAGGCTAAAGCAGGAGAATCTCCAGCTCAAGGCCAGTCTGGGCTATTTAGCAAGTTTAAGGTTACCAGGCTGTGCTAAATAGCAAGACTCTGTCTCAAAAACCAAACAAACACCCGAGTTCGCTCCCCAGTACCACAAACAAACAAACAAAACAAACAAAATATTTCTCACTTGAGGATTGTAAAACATCTATCCCTATTTTCCACTAGAATTTCCTTAGTTTTTATTTTTTGGTACTAGGGATTGAACTCGGGACTTTGGGCTTGGGAGGCAGGCGGTGGCACCGCTGAGCTAAATCCTCGGCTTTGAGTTTTCTTATTTTTAAGCCTCATCTGCCTCCAGAATTTAGACTGGTTCAAGGACTATGACGGGACCAGCTTTCTCGTTTCCATCAAGGGACTAGCTAGACAGTTGTCCTACTCATTTAAAAATAACCTATTCCCTGTCCTCCCTCTCTAGATTAAAAAATCCAATTTAACTATATAGTAGGAGGGATACAAGGGTATGAACCGAGCCACATGCCTGGTTCAAATTCCAGCCCCACAGGATCTAGGATAAGTTACCTAACTTTCCCGTGTCTCAGTTTCCTTGTCCAAAACTGGGAATAGTAATAGTACCATCTGCACAGGGTTATGGTGGTGATTAGATGAGTTATTACAGGTAAAGGGTGTAGAAAGATGCAACTGTAGCCAGGCATAATGGTATCCACCTCTAATCCCAGCACCATGGGAAGTTGAGGCAGGAAGTTCACAAGTTTAAGTCTAACCTGGGCAACTTAGCCAAACCATGTCTCAAACCAAAAAATAAAAAATGTCTGGGCATGTAGCTCAATGTGGAGGCCCTAAGTTCAACCCCAGTGCAGAAAAAGAAAGTAACCGGAGGCTGTCCATAAGGGGCTCTCCTTAGATGTAAAGACACACCCAGGCTGCAAGTGGGAGGGTGGGAAAAGGCACCCCAGGCAAATGGAAACTGGTATGGTTCAAACATGTCCCCTAAAGCTCCTGTGTTGGAAACTTCTGCGATGGGACCTTTCGAACGCATCAGATCACACGGGCTCTGCCTCATGAATGGATTAATGACATTCTTGTGGGAGTGGGTAATGATCTCAAGAGTGGGTTTGTTGTGAAAATGAGTTTGGCTCCCTTTCCTCTCACACATACTCTCTCGCCATGTGACGCCTTCTTCTGTATTATGACACCTTAACAGATGTAACCACTAGCTCCTGGACTTCTCAGCCTCCGGAACTGTGAGCCAAATAAATTTCTGTTCATTATAAATGACCTAATCTCGAATTCCCTTGCAGCAACACAAAACAGACTGGGATAGTAACCAAGTACAGCCAGGGGTGACCATAGTTCTAGTCAACGGCTGCCACAAGAGATGAAGAGCTTTATACAATGATAAAGGCACGTTCACCAGGAAGACAGAACAATTATAAATACGCACCTAACAGCAGAAGACCCAAATATGTGAAGCAAATGTGAGCAAAATTGGAGGGAGAAATAGTAACATCATAATAGTACAAGAATTCTTTGGTACCAGGGATCGAACTTGGGACCTTGGACTTGAGAGGCAGGTGGCAGAACCACTGAGCTAAATCCCCAGCCATTACAAGATTTCAATACACAACTTGCAATAATAATAATTTGCACCAACAGAAGATCAACAAGGACAGAGAGGAACAGAACAACATTCCAAGCAACTGGACCGAACACCCCTAGGCAGAACCCTACACTCCGAAGCTGCAGGGCACGCCCTTCTCAAGCATATTGGGAACCTGCTCCAGGACGCATCCTGTTAGGCTTCCGGCAAAGGGTGTGGGATGCTGTCCATACCAGGGTACATCGGTGATTACTATTGTCATGGTGGACTGTGTCACGGTTCTGTGAGCCAGTTCCAGCACTCAGCAGACATCTGCTACTGTGGGTCAGGCACTGTCCCACCTGCCAGGAACCAGCAGTGACCAGCGGTGACATGGCAGCTTCTCCCCACTTCTGCTTAGACTGAGTTCTAGTTACTTTGAGTACTTTTACTGATATTTATATTCTCTTCCATTATATTTTAAAAGAGGCTAATGTGTATGTGCAGAAATGCTATATATTTTTGTTTTAAACATTTATTACTGGTCATCTTAGGATTTAAAAAAATTATTCCTCCTAGTTTTTGCAGCTAGCAATCTTGTCTGACTTTCCCCTCCAAATGGTTATCTTACTCTTATCAAATATTGATAAATTTGCCTTTTGGGGGGGGGTCTGAGATTGAACCCAGGACCTTGCTCAATCTAAGCAGATGCTCCACCACTGAGCTCCAGCTCCTCTTTTATAACTTAATTTTTCAAAATTTATATTGGTTTGTACTCCTACAGCAAGGTTAGAGAATTAAGATAACAGTGGTCATTCTTTCCTCGTATATGTTTATGTCTACACATGCGTGCACACAATCACATTAAGGAATATCCATCTATTCCTATTAAATAAGATTTACAATCTGGGCCATATGCATCTTAAAAGCATCTCGGGCCAGGGATTTAGCTCAGTGGTTCCGGCGCCTGCCTCACAAGCACAAGGTCCCGAGTTCGATCCCTGGTACCAAAAAAAAAAAAAAAAGCAAAAAAGAAACTAAAGGAAAGCATCTAGGAATTATTTATATGATTTTTCATCTTTTGTACTATTAGCTTGTTCAGTTACATGAATAGTTTTTCTAATATTAAATCTATATTTCTGGAACATATCCCTATTTGCTGTCACATATTCATTTTAAAAATATAATGCTGCCTTCTTCTATTTATTATTATTTTTTTAAAAATTCTTTTATTGGTACATTTTAGGTATACAACACATTTACATTTCTCATTGGGAACTTGTACCTTCACGTGATGCATCTTGGTTCTTATTTTTTCCCCATTCCTAGCCCTCCCTTCACCCCCTCCACCCTTCCCTATTTTCAAAGACTTTGTTTCCATTTTTCCCATTTCTCATAATTTTTCCTTAT